GCACACACACCTTTTCCTATTTTTTATCCCTCTGCTTATTACCCTAGATCAGACTTTCTATTATCATGTCTAGATAACGGTAGTGGCTCCTATAACTAGCCCCTGGTATAGTCTATACCAATAGCTTTCAGACTGTAAGTCAGATACCACTTAGAGGTTATAAATTTAGTATTAACCATCTTTTTAAAAAAAAATGACATAGTGTAGGATATTATCAGAAGACATTGCATGTAGTCTAGGTGATTATGGTTTCTTGAAACTTGTTGGAGGCATATAAATGCATATACATATGAGTATTTTTGCAGTGTAGATTTTAGTTCTTTAGTACTACATGTTGAACCTACAACCTTCATACTACATCCCTAGCCTTTTTAACAAATTTTTGAGATATGTTCACTTTAGTTACTGAGTTACCTAGGTTGGGCTTGAACTTGGAATCCTGTCTCAGTCTTCACAAATGAATTATTTAGTGTGCTTCTCATTATTAAAAGATGGTGGCACACACCTGTAATTCCAGCACTAAGGAGGCAGGAAGATCATCAGGGAGTTCAAGGTTCAAGTTTGGGCTGCATAGTGAGGCCCTGTCTCAAAAAAAAAAAAAAAAAAAAAAAAAAATCAAAACAAAAAAGGTCAAAGTGCAACTTGAAAGATGTTAATTTTTGTTAGCTTCCAAACCTTCATTCTAAAGACAGCCCAAATTTTTGTTTCTGTTTTTTTTTTTTTTGAGACAGGATCTCTGCAATTCGGGCTGAACTTGAACTCACTTTGTAGCACAGGCTGGCCTTAAACTTACAGTGATTTTCTTGCTTCTTATTTTTTGGTAATAAGGGTAACCAAAAAGTACCTTCTGAGCAGCTGAACTATTAGTTATTAACCACAGATACTGATTTGCTGTTTCCCTCTCAAGAAAATTCTTTTTAATTAAAATACATTTTAGTTGAAAGTGACCATTTCCTTACTCCTTTCTGGTTTCTTTTCAGATGTGCTATACTTATGTTTCAAAGAGAATTTGCTCTCAGATTAGTTGCAAAGCCTGGAGATAAGTTATACTGCAGACTGTCAATTAATACACAGCTGTTAGCTCGTGTAGACCATCTAATGAAAGTAAGTGATTTTTTTTATTATTAAAATAATCTAGCTTAACTCACCTTTGAGCACCTATCTCTGCCTTCTGTTAGGAGAGTATCTTTGATTATTTTTTTTTTCCTTTAAGAGGAATAAACATTTTCTGATTGACAGGTGGGAAAGAATAACTTCAGACCACCACCTAAAGTAGAATCCAGTGTTGTAAGAATAGAGCCTAAGAATCCACCACCACCCATCAACTTTCAGGTGAGCCTTAAATATGAGGTCCTTTAGTAAAAGAAAGTATCCAAGCTGGAAGATGATGTGTATCTATAGCAGCAGAAAAATGCTTAATCTATCTAGATGTCTAAATGTAGGAGAATATGAATTATGATACACCCTTGTGATGGAGTAAAGATAGTAATTTGTAAGATAGTTTTGAAGACCACAGAAAACATGGAAAAGTTGTAAATGGCCAAACAACTAAAATATTATGTTTCACTTAAAATAGTTATGGAAACTTGTCTGTTTGAGTAAAACTTGGAAAATGCAATGAAAGGTAAAATGGAGTTTTAAATACTCTTACTTTTTTTTTGAATACCCAGTTCTTCCCCACTGAGCCCCATCTTCAGCACTTCTTGAGGCAGGATTGGCTAATAATACTATTAACATTTAAAAAAAATTGTTTTGGTGGTGTAAAAGAATCCAGACTACAAGTAAACAGTCATTTTAAGACAAAAATGTGACTGTGATAAGCTGCTGGCAAATGGGATGATTTGACAGTAACTCCTGGAAAGTTTAGGTGTGTCTGTTGGTAGAGGAATGTGATGGTACTGAAATTGAACACATCAGAGCTTTATTACAAAGCTACATCTCTAGCCCTTTTTCTTCACTTTGAGATGTGGTCCTGCTAAGTTGCCTAGGTTACCTCGCTTCCAGAGTTCAGAGTAAGTGGGATAATAGGGATGCCCCACTGTGTGTGACTTGGTGTCTATTGTTTGTTTGGGGTTTTTATTTTTGTTTTTTGAAACAGGGTCTTACTATATAATTCAGGCTGGCTTTCAACTTGCTATGTAGCCCAAATTTAAACTCAAGTTTTCCTGCCTGCCTCAGTCTCCCAAGTGCTGAGATTACAGGCATATTCTGCCATATGTTGTATTCATGTTGGTTTTGAATCTTATTTTTAAGGTTTTTTTTTTTATTGGTACCAGGGATCAGACTCACAACTGTGTGCTTGCAAGGCAGGTGCTTATGCTGCTGAGCTAAATTCCTAGTCCTAAATCTTATTATTGAAAGTGATAGTTAAGCTTAACTAAATGCTATGCCATGGGACAACTATACATTTTTTTCCCATTAACAATGTAGAAATCAAGAATATATCTTACTTTTGCATGTATGCCAGCCAGATCAAGAGACACTTTTTTATCTAAAAGTTTTATATATTAGAAGACAATACTTTGCAGACACAGACAAGAAGTTCAGTGTTAAGAAAATGATCACTTTCTGTTTCAGGAATGGGACGGCCTAGTAAGGATTACTTTTGTTAGGAAAAACAAGACACTGTCTGCAGCATTTAAGTAAGTATTTTACTGATTTCTTGTTTATAAAGAACCAGTGCACTCTACCACTGAATGACTCCTGCCCCCTTTTCTCTTTCTGAGAGGTCTTTGCTAAGGCTGGCCCTGAATGTGGTATCCTTTGGTGTTAGCCTCTGGAGTAGCTGGGGTTACAGGTGTATGCCACTGCACTCTGCTGGTATGATTTTTAGGGGTTTTGTGAAGGGTCACAGTGGTCAGTGATGGGGAATCTTTTTAGAGACTGAGTGTTCAAATTGCCCACTTAATTATCACAAAACCCACTTAATTATCACCCAAAACCCACTTAATTATCACAAAGTGCCAGTACTGCAATTAAATCTGAATACTGAAGTTTAGTTAATTTGATGCCTAGCTGTTGGGATGATTTATCTTGCATTCTGACAGAGCGTTCTGCAGACCCACTGTTGTACTCGTGCATTAGGTTTCCCACACTGGTGGGACATCTGGAGAACTTAAAAAGCTAGGGTGGAGGCACATGCCAATACTCCAAGCTAGCTTCTTGGAAGCTGAGGCAAGAGTATCACTTTAGCATAGGAGTTAAAGGCCAACCTGGGCAACATAGTAAGACTAGTTTCTTATCTTTCGTTTTTTGCAATAGGGTCTTATGTATAATTCAGGCTGGCCTTGAACTCAGCCTCCTGAGTGCTGGCATTTTAGCCATGCACCACCATGCCTAGACTTGTTTTTCCTTTCTTCTGTGAGATAGGGTTCCCTTTGTAACCCAGGCTGGCCTTGAACTCACAGTGATACTCTTGCCTCAGTCTCCAGAGTGCCAGCCTGTTTCTTTTTTCTTATTTTGAGACTGTTGTTTCTTAAAAATCTGAATGTAGTGTGTGGAATTTGACTGAATTGGTTTTTTTTCTTTTTTTTTTTTTAAGATGCTTGTCAGGACTCTACTTTTTAAATAGTGTTTGCTTCATAAGTTTAAATATTGAACACCTTATAATTCCTTAATTTCACCTATGGAACATAAGAGATTTCTGTCTAAACTGAAAGGAAGTATATGTAATAGCAGATTTTGAATAATAGTGGTATCATTTATGCCACAGATCAAGTGCAGTACAACAGCTACTGGAAAAAAACTACAGAATTCACTGTTCCATCCATAATACTGTAAGTAGAAAATGGTCTAAGCGATCTGTTTTAAGTCCATCTATTTTTACTTCTTGGTCTATCCTTGAGACTTTTACATGCTTCATAGGTGCCTTAGGAGCCAGTGTATGAGTGGCACAATTTTGACCCGAACTGAGGGTGAAGCTGCTGTGCAGTCTGGAGTGGACCTGAGCAATGTAAACTCCTTCATGCTGTCCTGAGATTCATTTTTAATTTCATCAGAATCGGGTCCAGCCAAGTAATAATTTCCTCAGTGCTACAAATGTATAGCTTGTTCAGTTTAAAACAATTGTGTACAAGTTGCTATCTTCTGAATTACTGTTACTTTTTGGTACAGGAGCTCAAACTCATAACCTCACACTTGCCAGCCGGTGCTTGTGCCACTAAGCTAAAACCCTGGCCCTTATATTCTGAATTATGATCATTCTGAATTATGATCATCCCTTGTCTATTGGTCCAATAGTAGTTACAGATCTAAAGTTATTTTGTAAATTTTTTAAATACCCAGAAATTAAAATAGATTGAGTAACAGATTTCTGATTGTGAGCTTCATGCCTCTGATCATCTGTATGACTTCCTTTAAACAAGTATGTGCTCTTACATTATACATTTATCTGTAATGAGATGTCTGCTAATTTTTTAGTTTTTAGTATAATTAAGCAAAACAAAGACAGATTTCCTTGGTATTTTTTATGGCTTAGAGCCTTTGTACGTTATATGGTTTCATGTATTACAATAGTGTCATTTACATGAGTAAAAGTCATAAAATACTGGGCTAAGTAAAAAATTACTGGATTAAGAAAAATCTTTGGGTAAAAGATGTGACTCAACTATCTGGTAGGATGAAATTTATGGAAAGAAAATGTTACTTTTAAAGGAGAAACAACTGCTTTAAAATTTATAGTTTTAAAGGCCAAAGCAGCATAACAATCTCCAGTCTGAGCCAAGCCTGGGTTAAGTTAGTGAAATCTGTCTCCAAATAAAAGAGCTGGAGATACAGCTCAGTGAGAAGGCCCTGGGTTCAATTCCCAGTACTGCCAAATCAGAAGGGCAGTACACATGATTTTTTGTTCAGGGTGTTGAATATTGGCTAAAGATCAGTCATTTAACTTGTTAAACATCTAGGCCTTACCCAAATTATCAAGTTTTTAAAGCTGTCATTAACAGAGATATGTTAAAGATAGCTGTTTAGACTGGACTAAAAAAAAAAAGAGCCAAGGTTAATTTCATTAAAGATATGTTATTCATTTATTCTCAATCTTGTATTGATAGATAATACCAGAAGATTTCAGCATAGCAAATAAAATACAGCAAATCCTAACCAGCACAGGGTTTAGTGACAAACGGGCCCGTTCTATGGACATAGATGACTTTATCAGGTAATTACAGGTTTTGTTTTCTTACATTTCTTTACCTAGATACCTTCAGTTTAGAGATTTAAAGGCCTTTAAGTGGTATAAGGTGCTACTGGGGAGAATTATTGCATAGCACTTCCATGGCATGGAATAGTATTTGGTGTAGAAAATGGAGGCTTAGTAGCTGCAGCAGAAAGAACATTTTCTTGAAAAACAGTAGTAAAGAACAGTCCGAGCCAGAAGATTGCCTCTGTGTTAGTGTATGTGGTGGTGTGCATGTTTCTGCCCTCTTTCCCCAGCCTCCTATTTATTCATGATCTTACTCTTAATAGTTCTAATCTTCAGTGTAACCCATAAGAAGAAAAGTCGTAGTATGTGTAACTGGATCTGATTTATTTCCTTATTGGGACTAGCTACTGTTAAAAAGATCTTAAGCATGAACTGTCAGTTATAATCACACCTGGTTATCCACTTACAGTTTTTTAGCCTAAGACATACTGTACACATGTGAAATAAAAAAGGTCTCAATAACCTGGACAATTTAAGCCAAACTTTTTTTCCCCTTGAACTAAGCAAGTAAGTCTTAAGGAAAAGTAAGGCCTCAGTTAGTTACTCAGCTAAATTAACCTGTACTGTTTTTACTTATTAACACTATTGTTCAAAAGTTCTTGGCTATTTACTTTTCAAGCATCCATGTTCTAAAGGGTAAATAAGAAATAAGGGTAGAATGTTGTTAAAAGTCATTAGCTTTGACTTTTTCCAAGCTGGAATCAGAGTTCTATAGAGCTAAGACAAATGGAGCTTGTATTTCATTAGCTGGCTCTAGCAGAACTACTGAGTCTTTATTAGGTGTTATCCTAGGAATTGAACACCTTAAGTACCTCTACTTCGCCTTTTTCAGATACTTTAATGCATTGTACGTGGTCCTATGCATCAGTCTGAAAATAATATCAAGTCTAAGCAAAATTAAAAAAAAATTTTTTTTTTACTAAATTTCTTGAAGGTGTAGTTTGCTAACCAGTCTGTTAAGTGTGTAAGTATCCACAGAAAAACAATGTGTAAATATATAATTTGAACCTCAGTAAGAACTCAAGAGAAAAATGAGCACCTGATGAATGGTCATTTATCTGACTTCTACCTCAAATTCCAGATAGCTTCTTGTTCATTTATCATGCTGAAATGGAACAAGTTCTAGTGAGCTTTAGGCCTGGTATAGCAGAAGTCTTAATTTCAATTAAATTCACTATCAAAGACATGTAGGCTTTAACAAAAAGGAGCTAGCATGACATAGTTTCAACCAACGTGTATCTTACACACTTAGTTTCAAAATAAGATTTCTTTAATGACTACCATGAGGAGTAGGTGGGTATATCAGTATGCTGATGTGTTTGTGTATAAACACCCCAGTTTTTCACAATATCCACAATTTTTTTTTTCAGTGCCATCTCATTTTTATTTTTGCTTGTTTTCCAGATTGCTCCATGGATTCAATGCAGAAGGTATCCATTTTGCCTAGTTACACTATTTGGGAAACAGAATTTTCAAAGTCAAGGAAAAGAATTAATTTTATATTTCTAACTGAAATGATGAATTATGCTTATTCCAGAGAGACATTATTTACATGTCTATTTCTGATTTAATACTACTCTAGTACTGTATATTACTATGTATTTTAAAAGATGGTCAGTTCTAAATACCCAGCCTGTTTTGGTGTTGGCTTGTTTTGAATAGGACAGGGTCCAGTGTATACACGATAATCTTCAAGCTTAATAGCCGCAGATACGCACAACCTTGCTCTCAAACGTACCATTTCTAACAGTTTATAATATAAAGATGTTACTTCTCTGTTTACTATGTTGTATAATTCACAGGGCTATTTAGGTCTTCATCTTTGTCCCTTAAGTAAAGTTAAAATATGTTCAATTAGTCATTTGTTCATACCATTTCTTACATGTACAATAAAACAAATGTTTCTTAGAATTTTACTTTTTCTTTGTTTATGCTACACAATTTATTCTATTATTTATTGCCTGCCTCTCCAGCTGTCCTACTGCAACACAGACTCTAGATGGTTAAGCCCAAGTCAGCTGCCATAATGTAGTGCCAGCCATGTGCTGGATGTGACTCCTTATAAAATGGAAGAAGCTCATCTAGAATGAAATAAACTAAAATTCTATCAATTTTCTTGGTAAAATAAGCATAGATTTAGCAAAATTTCAAAGGGTTTTATAAATTACCTTCTTTCCTTTCAACTTCAAAAAAAGATGTCCCCATGATTACAAGTTCCTGGGGTCAAATAACTTTAGTACTTTTTTCATATACTTGATACTTTAAAGCTATTTAAAAACTGCCAGATTAAAAATTTCAATAGATGTCATATAAGTTTTATTAGCTAATACGTTTAAAATCAATATAATACTGAATGCTATTAATACATTTTAATGAAGTTATAGTAGCTTTTTTTATGTAAGAAAAATTTTTTTATGTAAGAAACTAATAAAAATAGTTTCATTGATATTTGGATTTCTTTACACCTAAAACTTAATAGAAGGAATGGTTCCAATTAAGGAAAGCCAAAGTGCAATGACAAAACCTAGAATGGGGAAGATAAGTGTTTACTTAGAATTATTTTTAGAATTTGGCTTCAGAGTCATATAGTAAACGTTACTGCATCATTAAAATAATGTGTAATTTTCATTACTTACTAATTAGGGTAACAATTTTGTAGTCTGAGAAAGAATAAAAAGCTGAGGTTATTTAGCTGAAATAAACCACATTGTTACCTAAATATTGAATCTACTTGAGAGTTGATTTTCCAAAAAAATCTCAAAACTTCTTACTTTGCAAAGTTCACTTCTATCGACTCTGTAACTACAGGGAAAAAAAAAAAAAAAGATTCACCTCAGCTTCCTTACAGTGTTTCCTTTTACCCCATGAGGTTTTACCTATGGAGTTTTAGTCCTTTTGATCTTCAATTTTCCCAAATTGTAAAGCTGAGAGACTGTATTAAACTACCTCCCAAGATCTTTTCTGGTATTCATTTTTCAAATACTTTTGACTACTGATCACAATGAAGCCATCACAGTATAAGGCAGCATATTTGCTATAAAAAGACCTTCCAGAGATAGTACCTGTCTAATGTAAGTAATAATAAAGCTAATCTTTTGTGCTTAAAATAAGCAAGTTCACATGTTTTATTGCCTTTCTAAGAATGGTGGTTTGGAAAACTATTTTTAAACAGCCTCTGCAAGGTCAATAGTAATACTCCTCTACTCTTCTTGTCTTTGAAATAAACACAAATAGACTATATCTTACAGCTGCAAGAAAACCTGAGTCCCTTCCAAAACAAAGGTCATTGTATTAAAGGAAATTATCTCTAAAGTCATTCCATAGATTTCATTTATTAATAAGCATATTGTGAGAAAAAAAATCTACATTTGTTTTATGTTTACAGAGTTTTTCACCATGGTAATAAGATTTCCTATGGCTACCCTTGATAAGTCTTATGAACAGTGAATTCAAGAATCTGGCTCATGTGACTCTCTATTCATTGCTTCCCTTTGGCTCATGAATGAGCTAGTAGTCCCGTAGAGTAAATCAAAACAAGATATCCTTGAAGATCTTTTGTCAATCTACTCCTGGACTTAATCCTGGGAACTAAGGGAAAACTCCTAGAGAGATACACACATCTCTTCAGGTATTTACATGCAAAATGGCCAGTTTTTCTTCCTTGGAGTAGCACACTGTAAGAAGTGCTGTCATTTAAGGAATAGCATACCTTCCCACCAATTTACTGGTGAAAATTCAGTGATTCTCACCAAATCATGCTGAAACATCACATATTAGGTACTGAATGGAGCTTGGGTTTGATCTGCCTATTAAGGCAAGATAAACTTTCAGCTTATTCTTTTTCAAGGGAATTATGTACTGTCTATGCTTGGCTTAAACTAACTTCTATTATGGACTATTTTCAATGTACATGTAAATGTTCATGCATCAGAAGCCAATCTCCTTTAACAGTACATTAAAAAGGTGTATTTTACGGTGCTAATGAACACTTCAACTTAGGTAATGGTATTTGTAAGGATCAAATTGCACTATTAGTCTTGTTATTACCACACTGGCACACACATTGCATATATATGCATTATCCTAAGATAAAACTCTTCTCAGAATTTCATTACTTTTTATTATACACCAACTAATTTATATTTTAGTTTTTTTACAAAGAAAATTCTAAGAAAATTATAATCACATGTTATATGGTTTTAAAATCATAATTCCAGATTTCTTTACATATAAGATGGAATGGTCCAGCAGCTATGTCCACTGTCACAGACTTAGTTCCGTTCAATGATATGGCACATTCTGCAAAATTAACTAGTCACACACACAAAAAATGTCCCAAATACAGTAAAAATGTACACACAATAAAGGTAATTTACAATGACAAATAAGGAATGTAATTTTTCTTGGCTGTGCTTCAGAAATTTAGGGTAATAGCCTTAGTCAAGGCACAGAGCAAGAAGAGGTGAGCACAGCTGTCTTCAGGAGTAGGCAAGGTATGTACAATCACTGATGAGGTATGCATGCACTCAAAGGATTTAAAACTGCTCAGTCTTGCTACGAAAATTGAACTGAGTTAAAAGGAAATGCTGTGGCTTCTCCTTACTATCCACCTTTGGGTCAAGTCCACAATCTTAACTTCATCATATAGAAAATAAAACTGGCAAGGATCTCCAAAAGTAAATCACCATCTGGAGAATAGTGAAACAAAATGTTTCACTAATGCCAAATCTTGGTTGTCCCTCCTGGACTACAAACATTTTGTAGACAAAGAAGTGTTTCACAAAATTGAAATGTCATTCAGGTGAAGGACAAGACATTTTCCACAGACACTTAGAATTTCAAACTTTGAAATGGCCCTTACAGCTGAAACACTGTTACAGCAGCGAGGGTTTTGGGGATCCTTTAGCAGCAAATACGGATTTAAAGGGCACGGGGTCTCTTCGGATTAATTTGCTTGCTGGCTTGTTCTTCTTCTTGTAGAGCTGCACGAAAAGATTTCACTTTATCTTGGAAAAAGAAAAGAACGAGGATGTAAACATTGTATTATATGTTATATAACATACAACTTTATGGGTTTTATCAAGTTGGCTCTCTTTCACAGTAACTGTGTTTTCCTTTTCATTCTACAATGTCTAGAGTAGTGATGGAGAACTTTTTAAAGCTTTCAATGATACGAATAGTCCAATGTAGCACATGTGCTGCAGGCTCAGCAACACTGGTCTAGAGCCTCAGAAATAAATACAGTGCTCAATGATAGCAACATGTTCTTTACAGATGCCGGCCTGCCTCCTCTGGCTCTTTCTGTCTTATACTGCGAGCCCTGAATATGGCAGGTAAGCACTCCACTGCTAAGCTGCCTCCCTTGGGTGTAGTGTAAATTTTATTTTAATAGGCTGTCATTCAGTTGGTTAAGCTAGTGTGGGCTGTACAATCTTCTTGCCTTCACTTCTTGAATAGCTGGGATTACAAACATGTTCTGCCATAGCAACAAATACATATCTTTCAATCAACTTTGCTTCCATTGGGGACATTTTACAGCATTCAATTTCAACTCATTTAAATTCTTTTGGGAATAGAAGCAGACTATACAAAATATATAGAGTAACATCTAAGAGGAAAATTACGAATCTTTCTAAACTGAAAAATAGGTATTTCTTTTTATTCCTCATTCCTATTTTACTTTTTAAGCTAAGGAAGTTTATTTTTTAAAAACAAATGGCAGATTAACCTCATCCAGGGGCTAATACCTCTTTGCTCTTAACATATTCTGTCCTACTGTCAGGTGCTGAATTAGAATCAGGAGAGTTACAAACAGGTCAGTAAATTGTTAGAGACAAAGATGAAAAGATGCAGCAGTGGCTTTCAAATGGGGTAAGTCTGCCCTCAGAGGAAAATTTAGTAATGTCTGCTGAGAGTTTTAGTTGCTGTAGTTGATGTGCTACAGTCCTCTAGTGCACAGGGCCCAAGGTGGTGGTAACACTTTACCATGCAGAGGGAAGTCTCCCTCAACAAAAAATTCTCTGGACAAAAATGTTCATAGTGCCAATGTCATACAAAACCTACTCTAGTCCTGGTGGTGTAGTTTATCTAAAACATGTGATACAGGTCCCCAACAACACACACCCTACACAAAAGAAAAAAGAAAAAGAATATTCCATAACCTTTGGAAAAAAAGAAGATACGAATTTTCTTTTTCTCCTCAGAAATACATAGATTTTTTAAAAGTTAACTTTTCTAAGATTTAGAAAACTTTATCAATCTGGTGATTGATAATAGTTCTCAAAGCTCTTATATTAATCTAAAGTCTCTGGATAGCTAAAAAAAAAATGGAATAATGCAATACCTAGTGTTGGGAGCCTGGCCGAGTGATATGAGGCCTGTGGTGAGGAGTGAAGCCTGAGCTAGATTGCCCCTCCCGTCGACCGAGTGATATGAGGCCTGTGGTGAGGAGTGAAGCCTGAGCTAGATTACCCCTCCCATCGAGTATGCCAAGATGGCGCCCATTTCCTGCTCCCTAGCTAGTAAACAACACGCCCTGTAAGCTAGTCTGCCCAGCAACAGCTGACGCTGGCCAATCAGCTCGTCTTGCCTACTTTGATGTGATTGGTCGATGTGTCCATATATATGCTGACACCACCCCTGGGGCGAGAACACACACACACCAAGAAGAGGGACTGCTGAGAGAAGCACACAAGGAGCCGTAGGGAACGGACCAGAGGAGGCTTCCCTCAGGCGGGATCCGAGATCCCGGAACAGGGCGTACGGAGAGAGAAAATAAACCAGAGGCTATCCGCCGACTACTCGTGTCGTGTGTTTTTTCCTGCCGGCCGGGAACGACACCGACAACCTAGACTATCTAAAACTTGCGGGGTGGAGGCTTTAGCTCAGTGGCATAAGTGCCTATCTTGTAAGTGCATGGTCATGACTTTGATCCCTGGTACCAATAAAAAAAAAAAAAAAAAAAAAAAAAACTTCCAAGTCTGTTAATATATGTTTTTCCTTGTTTTTTTTTTGACTGTTGTTGTGTCTTCCCCTTTAACCTTAAGGTATCTTTAGCTTCTCAAAAGACTAAAAAAAGTATATAGAGAACTTGAAATGGTACCCTTATATTAAAAAACAAAAACATTTTGGTTGATCTGCCTTCATATCTCTGGAAAGAAGGTGCAAAATAGTACCTGTAATTTCACTGCAAATATCCTCTTGCAATATGAAATCCTCTCACTGTATACATCCCAATATTTCATACCCAACACTAAGATTAAAAAAGAATTACCCCGTAGCTCAGTTAAAATATCTATTTTTTGCTCAAGAATAGCTTCAAGTTGTGTAGCATACGAATCTACATCATAGTCTACTTCTTCAGTCATCTCTAGGAGAGCCTTTTCATCCTCTAACCATCTGATTGATTCCTAGAAAAGATCAAACATTCAGTAAGTCTCTTTGCAAAAGATAGCAATTTATAAGATTTGTTAAATATATTCAAAGCATAATTGAAATGATATTCTCTAAAATAATAATAGATATATTTTTATTCAGACAGTAAAATTTATTATTTCCTTAAGTTCGAACACAGAAACATGCATGAATATAATGGGCCAGGAAAGATGATTGTACTTCAACCTTTATGGGGCTCTGGGTGGACCTTGGAGGAAGGAATGAATCAAGCAGATAAACATGAATGAGCAGAGTAAGTCTTAAAATCTCAATAGCTGCCCCTAAAGCAAAGGAAGACTGAACATAATAAAGCTACTGAGGAATATGACGGCAAATAGCCTATAACTTACAGGATATGTGTAATTAACATCTAGTTGGGGTCTACCATGGTATGAATATGATCTGTCCTCTATGAAACGCATGCTGGAGTTTAATCCCTACGATGAGGGTGGAAATGTAATACAACTATAGGGTTTAGGGTGGAACCTTTGGGAGGTAATTAGAATTAATATCATCAAGGTAGAATACTTGTAGTTGAATTCTGGTGGCTTTCCATGAAGAGAGAAAGCACAGAATATATACACATGAAAACATTTATTCTGTCCTTCCTCTAATGATGTCCTGTGCTGCTTTGGGACTCTGCCAGCAAGAAGGCTAACACACATGGGGCCCTTCAAACCTTGGTCCAGCAAAGTGAGCCAAAATAAACCTCTTTCTTTACAACTGACCCAGTCAGTACTACTATGTTATTAACAACAGAAAATGGACTAAAAAAGCATGTCACAGTCACTGAGCAAAGCCTAAATACTAAAACGTTCTTCAAAATTACTGTGACCGTAAGGGACTAAAGGATAGCAGTTAAGGTTTACATATGTAAGTGTCTCCCAAAGACTCATGCATTGTTGAGCTCAATCCCAATGCAGTAATGTTCAAAGGCAGAGCCTAGAGAAGTGATTGGATCAGGAGAGCTTTACCTTCTAGATGAATCCACTGACAAGATCACAATTTGATGTATTATGGCTAAGTGACTGAAAAAAAGAGGTGGGTCTACTGAAGGAAATGATTGTGGAGTTGTGACTTTGGCACAATATCTGATCCTGGCTCACTTCCTCTCTGGCTCGTTCCACCTTACTCTGGTTCCCAACTGCTATGAGGTGAGCAACTTTCCTTTAACTCAGCTTTCTGTCATATTTCTGCCTCATCACAGGCATAAAGCAATGCAGCTGGCCATTGAACTGAAACCTTGGAAACTATGAGCCAAATAAGTATTTGCTCCTTTAAAGTATTTATGTAAGATGTTTTGTCCCAGCACTGGAAAGCTAACATAATAGCCAACTTTAGAAAAGTAAACCGAGCCAATAAATAGTTATTTTACTTTCAAAAGTGTGTCAAGGAACTCCTTCAGTCTTGACTGATTTTAGATATGCAGAACCTACAAATTTCATTTTCTGGCAATGTCATAAATCATACAGCTTATTAACAAAGACCACATGATTCTGAATTTAAGTTTTTTGGACATGAAAGTAAGTACTCTTTAGGTTTTTAGGGTGCATATAGCTGTAATTTTCCAAACATCACTTCATTTCAATGGGTATTTATACTAGACTATATCACCAGACAGAATTGGTTAACCTAGACAGGTATCTATTAGAAAATATGTATCTATCAATCATAAAACACAAGTTATTTATGTTTTTCTTCAGCTACACACTTAAATTATACAATAAAACCCTTTTTGAGAAATGGTGGATCACAGTATAAGGAACAATAATGCAATAGTAGAAAAACTGGATTAACTGGATTCTAAATCAAAACATCCAGTTATGCCAATAAACAAATGTTGACTTTATAAACATGGTAAAGAAATTATGGTCTATACAGTATCTTGTTCCAAAAGGGCCCAAACAATAATTTTCCTAAATTACAAGTTTCTATTCTTAAATAAATCTAAACATGTAGGCTTCTAAAGAGATTCTCATGATAACAGCCTCACTAAAGCCCTCAATTGTTTTAATGAACATACATCCTAACTTGAAATAACATGTTTTCTTTCATATTGGAGTCCTTTATCCAGGTACTTGAATGACTACACTTGAGGTGATTTACTTTGTTTATGGATAAAAGACCTTTTCAACATCAGAAAAGGAAGAGAGGCCAGTAAGTAGCTGGGACTGGGGATTTAGCCCAGTGGCATGAGCGCCTGCCTTGCAAGCAGGCAGTCGTGAGTTCGATCCCCGGTACCGATAAAAAGGAAAAAGACAAAAAAAAAAAAAAAAAAAAAAAAAGATAAGTTATTGCTCACTTTCCCCCCTCACATCAGTAAGACACATGAGGGTAGGAGTCATAAGGTCAAGTCCATAGTATAGTTTTTACAAAGATGTCCAAATGTATCTTTACTTCCTCATGAATACCAGCATCCAGGATTTTCTGTTAAAAACATATGGCCTGGCCAGGGATTTAGCTCAGCAGCGTAAGTGCCTGGCTGGCAAGCACAAGGTCATGAATTGGATCCCTGGTACCAAAAAAAGGAAAAAAAAAAAAACAAACCCAAAAAACCAAAAAAAAAAAAAAAAATGTGGCCTGTGATCCCAGATAATCAAGAAGCTGAGGCAAAAGGACTGCCCACCCTAGAGGCCAGCCTAGGTAATATACAAGACTGAACATCTGAGGTGTTACTGCTACAGGAAGGCACATAACACCCTTCACTCAACCTGCTGCTTACGGATCAGTCTTAGAAGTATTTCTCCATTTCCTAAGGTACTCTTTCTCTTTTACAAAGACTGATACTTCCTCAACTGCTCCATAATCTTGAAAGAATTTTATCTTACTGTTGTCCAATAAACTGGCCTAACAAAGATAGTAATAGTGGTGGGCAGAAGTTCAACTCATTTCCAAAAATGAACAATTGCCAAAGGGATAGAAAGATGGTAAATACAGTAAATCTTCTAACATGCTGCAGGGAAATGCCTGGAGTTACCATTCTATAAAAAATTACTAAAGAATTGCCATGTCATGTGCACTCATATGTACAAATAAATTTCTTTGAGAATATTGCTACACTTAAATAATTAAAAAGTTTGTGGTTACTGTATCTCAAGAAATATCCTGACAAGAGGTCCTTTCTCACTTTACCTGGAATACTGCCCTGTGATCTTCTACAACCTGCTCTTCCATTTCTACCATTTGTGACACAGCTTCATGGAAAGTAAACAATTGTGGAGAAACCTCTTCTTCCTGAAAATAGACCAGTTAAAGAGTTAAAGTAACTCTTAGTTCAACCCAAACTTTATCATGAATAAAGAGTACTTTTCACTTCAGGCTTTACTGCATAATTATCATAAAAAGCAGTCTCTCCTGAAATAGTTTGGTTTTTCAAATATACACTTAAAACTGCAAGTTGTAAGTAAACTGAAATACAGCATCTCTTCCATATAATGATGGGTTGACATACAATTTTATGACTTTACAATAGCATAAAAGTAAAAGGCATTCAGAAAACATACTCTGAATTTTGATCTTTTCTTGGGCTAGTGACAGGTGGTACTGCCTTGTGATGCTCAATAGCACCAACAAGCCACAGCTCCAGGAAAAATGGTACTATAGTGTGCTGTGCTGCTAACCATCTATGAGATTGGTGCCGTAAATTTATCTCAGACCTACAATAATTTCAAAGTGTGATGGGTTACTCCTGGACTCCTGTACTCAAATGATTGTTTCTCTCAGCCTCTTGGATACTACAGCTGAAACTACAGGTGTGTGCCACTGTTTCCAGCAATTCTTACAGAAATTCACAATTTTTTCTCTTTGTGTTTTATTTTGAGATCTAAATTGCCTAGGTTGGGCTTGAATATGTGATTCTCTTGCCTCAGTCTCCCAGAATGCTAACTACAAGGGTTACCACTATGCCCAGGTGAGAAATTTTAACTGACAACTTACATTTCTATTTTGTCAATGACAGGAAACATATGTGTGTATATGCACACACATATACCTATATACAACATATGAATATTTTAGTCTTAAGTTAAACTTTTCTGACTTTTCTTTTTGGAGTTTCCTTCCCAATCAAGTGTCTAAAGAATTAATTTATTTTCTCAAAATGTGACTTCAGTGATAAAGTTAACCATGTAGGAGTCAACTATTTATAAAATATGAGTAAGAAAGCACCACTTTTCAAACAAAACATGTAATTTGAATTATGTGTACAAATTTTAACTTACAGTAAATATTACTAAGTAGACATTTGACTTTTTCATCCTTGAAAGTTTATATAATCAGACTGACTTTCTCTGAGGAAATATGTTTCTGATTTGACTTTTTCATCCTTGAAAGTTTATATAATGAGACTGACTTTCTCTGAGGAAATATGTTTCTGCTTTTTATCAGGACATATTGGCATTTTCTCATACATTTTCTCCCTCTCCCTGACAAACACATAATATTCAACATGTGTTCACTCAGTTTTCCTTACCACCTCCCCCTCAATCCCAGATTTGTTTTCTTTGCTTCAAATTACTATACAAACTCCTATTATTTATCTTTTTCTGGAATTCTAATGTGCTTGATTATTCACTTACTTGTATTAGTTTTATTTCTAGGGTAGGACACCAGTCCACTTTCATCTACCCTGGCTAAGCCTTAACATTCCAAGAATACATATGAATGTATAGTAACTAAATCTAATGCCGAACCATCTCAAGGTAAGTTCCCCAAGGACAGCACTCTCTGAAACATGAAAGCTGTTAAATAAAACTGATAATGTCACGCTTAAAATCCCGAGATTAATTCTGATCATCTAGCCAATCTCTCCAAATGAAGGTTCTGAAAAAGCTTAATAATTGCAAGAATACGATGTAAAGGTATACTGTGTCTGTCTTATTTCACTTTTGTGTATCTTTGTATCTGTACCATATCTAGGTACAATGCAGGGATTACTTTGAGTACTCTAAGAACAACACAGGGGATGGAATAGTTTTGTCTCCGTGGTTCAAAATTTAGAACTTTTACTTTCAATCAGGTTTTTTCAATCTTGCAATCCACTGACATTTTGTGCAGATAGGGTAGGGGACACTGCCCTGTGCACTGTATTAAATGTTCATCTGCATCCTTGGCCTCTATCTGCCAGATACAGAATCACCTCAGATCTGGACAATCAAAAATGTCTCCACACAGTTTGCCCTAGTTAGGCCAAATTACCTCTGGATGAGAGGAGCTGCTTTCAGCCCAGCTTTAGTAGTACAGAGCAATACATATAGAACATGGTAACAAAAAGTGGCATATTCATTTGTCATTCTAGAATATTTTAGACTTTTAGGTGGCAAGTCAGTTTAACTGAAATAAAATCAGGCTCTGGCATAAAAAATACCTAGGTTTCAATATGGCTTTGGCACTTACTATCTGTATAATCTTGGTCAAATTGCTTAAACCTCTTAAGAGTATCAATTATAAAGTAAGACTTAAGGCACTTACTACATTAAACTATACAGATTAAATCAGATAAGCAAATGCTTACTAATGCTTATCATGCAGTAAGCAGCCAGTAAAAGCTACCTTTTAAGTTTATTAAATCACACTTTTTTTTGTTTTTGTCATTAGTGCTTTTTTTTTTTTTGAGACAAGATTTCACTAAGTAGTTTAGGCTGGCCTCGAACTCCAGCAATCCTTCTGCCTCAGTCTCCCAAGTGCTGGAATTACAGGCGTGGGCCACATAATTACTGCTTTTTTTTGAGACAGTCTCGCAGTATAGTTCAAATTGGTCTTGAACTCACTATGTATATCCAAGGTTGGCCTTAAATTTAAGGCAAACCTCTGCATCAGCCTTCCAAGTGCTGGGATTACAGGTAATGCACCACCACACTAGCCTGCATTTTTAAAATGATGTTAAATACCCACATAAATAATTACCTCTCACACATAGAAAGGACACTTCTTGGTGTATCGAAAGCAATTGTGTACAAGTGTGCAGTATTTGTGCTCTTATATCTTTGTATTTTTCTGTCTATAGAAGGGGTATATATTTGAAAAAACAAAAAATTTAAATTATAAAATATACTTAAATATTTCAGACATACGGCAAAAAACTTAATAGATACTTGTATTTTGCTATGTTTAATTTTTAAACAGTTCATGTACCCTTTTAATATGGATGACTACCATGTGACCTTTTAATATGGATGTACCATGTCAGTAACCCCAGGCCTCTGGAGGCCAAGGCAGGAGGACTATCCTTAGTTTGAGGCCACCCAGAATGATATAGTGAAAAAACAAATCCCAAACAGTATGCTTATGTCCACAGTTCTTGGGTTTTTTTTTTTTTTTTTTCCTTTTGTTTTGAGACAAGGTCTCACTTTGTAGTTCAGGCTGATCTTGAACTCATGCTGCCTACACTGGCCTGCTTCAGCCTCTCTAGTGCTGGGATAACAGGTGCCACCACCACGCCCAGCCCAGTTCATTTCTTTTTAAACTATATAAGACAGGGCCAGGGATTTAGCTCAGTGGCACAAGCGCCTGCCTTGCAAGCTCATAGTCGTGAGTTCGACCCCCGGTATCAAAAAACAAAACAAAAATCTTTACGTAAGATATATGTATAATTCTTAAATTTGCTTTCCTATTACTTATTAAAACTTTAATAGTTACAAAACCTGAAAAAAAGTTTAGATCAGAAAACCACATAGTAGATGTTCTGGATTCATAAGCTGTACAGACACTGTCACTCCTGCTATGGCAAGAAAGCAGTCATTCAATACATAAATGAATAAGCATGGTTAGACTCCTATAAAAATTTACTTATAAAAACAGATGGTAACAGGTTAGTTTGCTGAACTCTGATTGAGTTTTCAAGTAAGTTTTATGACTGATAAACTAAAACCACATCAATCACAACTATGTCACTCACATTTTGTTCACAAAGAAGTTTTAGGTCATCTCTCTGGGGGGAACTTCCCACACCCCACTGTGTCTCTAAATCATCAATCTGATTTGGTTGATGGTGCATTATTGGGCGGACATCACCAGCGGCAGTTGGATCTACAGTCAATTCTTTCACCCTACAAACACATAATAGGCATCTTAAATTAACAATGATTCATGCACAGGAACAACAAAATACTGACTTATTCAATATAAGGCAACTCAATTAACACGCTAAGATTGATGTCACCTTTATAGGTGAAGTCTGTGGAAAAACTTAATGGATGTTTGGTTGTTTAATTCAAAGAGCTGATTTAAGTACTTTATAGCTTCAAATTAGCAAAGTATGTAGGTTCAGTTTCAAAGAAAAAACTATTTGTTGTAATTATACTGTATGAACAGAAAAAAATTAAAAATGGCGTTTAGATCTTCAAATGGGTCATGGCCAAAATCAGGAAAATAGATAATACTTTGCAAGTGTCTGGCAGTTTTAACACTCAAAATAGCTAAATTTTATTTCTAGTACATAAAGGTTGTGTTTATCATTTTAAAAATGTTTACTCATACTTAAATTTACTATTTGAGAAATTTAGTCTAGAATATCCTTGTCATTCCCTGCAAACAGGAAATTTACAAGATCATACAGAATAAACTCTTCATCTGAAGCAAGACAATGTACCTTTTAATGGTAAATATGCAAAAGTGACATCATTCTTTAAAAAATATGAGAAATAAGAAACCTGAATTCTAAATCAACATTATAAAGCAAATAATAAAGACATAAAAATGCAGAACATGCAGTACAACCACCACCTGCCAAATGAAATGAAATGAAAAATAAAATGGCTCAGGATAAAAGTAAATGAAATGTTTGTATGTAGCACAATTCAAAAGAAGCTATCAAAATAGGCATCTTATGTATACAAAGAAGTAGACCTGGTAATCGAAGGAGAAAAGTCGTCATACTCATAAGAAGGAGAAAGGTCAGGGCGACTGCCACCACCCTGTGAGAACGGAATGTCTGATGGACTAATTCCAAACTCCTTTACTCTGCAGCACCAAACAGCAACAAATTAAAAGAAAATGTTCTTATAAAGACAGCAAAGCACAATTCATGCACCATTTTTCTAACAATGTATTAGAATATTACTTTACAATCAATTTTTTAGAGATCTTTGAACATCTTTGGCTAGTTGATTCCCTACTGGGAAGACTTAGTCTTTCCTTCTTGATATGTTTTCTTCTTTTCACAGAAACTTATAGCCCATTACCTAAACCTGAAATGTTCTTTATTTTAACTATAAGAACCTAAATCTGATTTTCTCATGTGGTCAGTAGCAGAAATATTTTGTTTACTGATATTAATAATTTTGCAGCATTACTGCAGACTTTCTCAAATAGGACTCAAGAAAATTATATACTAATGTCAAGGTACCACCGCTGGTTTTTAATGAATTAACTCCTGCTTATATGTCTAGAATATAATAGCTATGAAATATTCTAATACAATTGAGAAAAGTCACTCAATTTTTTGAGCTTAGTGATTAAAAACTCAAATGGAATTTAAATTGCTTTTGCCAATGTGTATGCTATATTTTAAAAAAATCGTAAGTTTTCATCCTATCTTTGTGATCTTGCCCTTTTTGGGTTAACTTCATTTCACAGCTGTAAGCAATAATTATTAAATGCTTTCTGTATGTAAGGTACTAGGATTAGTTACTTTCAGGCACTACATTATATACTTTTTATGACAATCTTTGACATTATCTCCATTTCATATATGAGAAAACGAGAAATAAAGTATCTTACCCATAGTCGTTTAACAAGTATAACCTTGTGCACAAGTTTTTCCCCTAATATACCCTCTTGTCCAAACCAACTATACTATATGTAGGAATCACAATAACTCAAATATGGTACAAAAAATCCTTAATCACTGTTATGCCCAAGACCCATCACTAGTATCTGGCATTACCCAAAGACTCTATCCTTTGGGTTGTAACAGGGCTATTATCTCTCACACTCCTGTATCGCTTTTCTCTTTGGGGCAATTCTTTCCCTTTGAAGATTTTTTCTTCTACTCTCTAAAACATACTAATTTTGTCAAGTGATTACAATTGGATTTTTCATCTTAATCATCTGTATCAATATCAACTCCCACAAAACACTTCAAAAGTAGAGGGGTTGGATTTTTAATCTAAAATGAAAGATTCTTTCTTTTCTTCTCTCCCCCTTTCCCTTGGTGTTTTTCTGCAATGCGGAGGATTAAACTTGGGGCAACAAGCACACTGCCAAACACTTCACCACCAAGTTATATCATTAGTCCCTAACTGAATTTTTAAGACAGAACACCTCACTAAAATAGCAGCCAAGATAATTAATGTATATTCCAGGGACTGTGGTAAACAGTTTACACAGACTTATCTTAGTTCTCAAAACAAGCCTTTTAAGAAAGATACAACTATTAATCTCTACATATTAAATATATCAAGACATAGACAGTCTGTTTTGGTTAAGGAATAAATGAGTTATTAAGCCCACTGTCTTGAGAACACAAGACTTTTTAATCAGTATGCTGGGTCTTGAAAACAAAGCGTAAACATTTAATAAGCAATATTTTAAAAAATATTTTCCAAAATGGCAGATTTCATATTAAAGAAGAATGAATTCTCCTTGACTGAAAAAAAAAAAAAATTACTGACTCTTAAAGGTCATGAAATATTTGGCATGCAAGAATGGCTGAAAATCTACTCTTAGAAATTTGGAAATAAAAGTGACAGAATTACTTGTCCCAGATGGTTAGTTGTGTAGCAAATGAGCTATGTTATGTAACAATAAAACATTATACTTGAACCTAAACAGACTACAGCAATGGTGGGAAAGCTTTTAGGGACCAAGTACCCAACTGCCATCTCAACCCCACTTATTTATTTATTGTAAGGGGCCAACACTGCAACTCAACCTGAATACTGAGGTTTGGTTTAGAAAAAACAACTGTTATCTGATGCTCGCCTGTTGGGGGACTTGTATGCCTACAAAGAAGGCTCTGTATGTCTGCTGGAGCATGAGTGCCATAGGTCTGCCACCACTGAACTAGAGGAACAGCCAGACACAAGAGTAAGCATTCCAAACTGAAAAGTCTAAAATCTGAAATGCTCTAAAACCTGAAATTTTCTGAGCACCAATAGGACACCACAGGTGGAAAACTGCATAAATGACTCCCATGTGCTGTGAGTCAAAATGCAAGTATACTAAGTACTATACAATATTACCTTCAGTGTATGTGTGTAAGGTGCATTTCAAGTACAAGTGGATTTCGTGTTTAGAACTGTATCATGTTCCTAAGATCTCTCATTATATATATGTGAATGTTTCAAAATTTAAAAAAATCTAAAATCTGAAATACTCTGAATCTCAAGCATTTCAGGTAAATATACTCAACCTATATGTCACTTTTCATAATATTCAGGGGAGTCCTTCACAGTTTTAAAGATTTAAGATACAGAAGAGTTCTGTTTTAATTTTATCAAATGCAAAGGACCTACCACACCAAGCTGTTCTCCTCTTTTCTATGAGCTATATTAAAATAGCATTTTAAGTTGATAAAAATCCTACATATCTAAAGTAGCAGCAGCTGGGAACTCATAATTCAAACTTTAAAAGGGAATACATTTTGAAAATAAAGTTCTTAACTACATTTTAAGAGTAGCTATTATATTTTAGTACCTTTTACAGAAGGTCAATAGGTTTATATTTTCCAACAATGCTTATTTCCATTTAAAATCTCTTCAACTGAGGTAAAAGATACAAAAGATCAAAAAATACGATCCAAATACATATAGCTAGCTATGTTACCCAAGGATACATTCATAGGTAGTAAAATTATTTTTAGGATGGGGCACAGTGATCCTGCTAGTAATCTTGGGTAGATCATGAGTTCAAGGTCAGCCTAGACAACACAGTGAGTCCCCAGCTCAAAACAAAAAGAAAATGACTAAATTAATTAATCCAAGTCTGGACAATGGGTACTTTGTGGCACAGATTAATGGATCTGGGCAAATTACTTAGAATTTGTTGTTATAAAAGAACACATGGAGAACTTTGTTGTTAATGCTGTATTTCCTGATAACGGGGGTATTCACTTTACAAGTATTTATTAAATTACTCATTTGTTTTAAAGTAGCTTTTATGTACAAATATTTCAAGTTTTTAGAAAATATTGAAAATAAAAATTCCATTGTGATTAAAACCACAGAACAGGACAAATAACTTTGTCAGGCAAAATTAAGACAATTTTTACCCTGAAGCAAGATATAAAGAGGAAATCCATATAGATTAGAACACAAATGTAACGTGGTAATAGAAATTGTAAACTATGTTGACAGTCATTCAAAACACAGGTGGCAGCAGGGGTGAGGGATCGGGATCTATGGATTAAACACACCTATCATAGCCCAAAGTTTCACGGGCACTTCATGAATTTAAGACATAAACTTTTTTAATAGTCTATAATACACTTTGCACTTCCATCTGTAATGATTCAAGTTGTTTAAGTTGGAAACACTACTGACATGAATAACAAAATATAGTTTAGGAAGAACTGTACTATCACTTCTTACTCAAATTCTGGATTACTCATTTATAACTTGTAATACCATCAGGAATAATTTTCAGCATACAGCAGGACAGTTTTAGAAATATACACTAGTCTCACAGTCTTAATATAGCAGGAAGAGTTTACATGATTATCTAACTCACTGAAACATAAAAAATATAATCATGTTCTAGGGTGGAATGGTCAATTTTATTAAAGATATCAGTCATTTCTTTAATTACACAATCTATTTCTACTCATTTTTAAGGATTGACAAAATAACTGAATATTATCTTAAAGAAGCTAAAGTTTTCTTGAAAATTCAAAGAACAACATAAATAAAAGTGGCCCTGGTAGACAATTTAATTATATCATGTACTGTTCTATTATAGTATCCAATTTAAATCCGTAAAATGGATATCATCTCTCATACCTATTTGCATATCTTAAAGTATTAAGAGTATTTTCACAGGATGCCATTCCTGGAGAGATTGTGGCAATCTATAGAGGAAAAAATGAAAGGTAAAATGTTACAAATAATTCAGACAATAATCCTTACACATAACTCATCTAAGGTCTATTTTTACAAAGGTTATTTAAAAATACTTATTAATAATGTCTGAACAAGACAATCTGCTAGTACCTGTAATCATATAACAATTATAGAGTCTTGTTAAAATATAAGCAACTTTCTGAAGGTACCAGAAAATGATAAAAATCCAGCAGAAAATAAAGGTAAGCATTTTGGGAGGAAGGGAACAGCACTGAGTACCTCCCTCTACCTACTTTTTTCTTTTAACAGTATTTTGCCAGAGGGCAAGCCCTGCAGCCATCACACAGGACAACTAAAATTTGATTAGCAACTTGAAGTAATACTGCTTAAAAACTCAAGTACAGTTTGGAAGCAGGGATCACATCAGTTGGAAAAGTTATCCCAAAAGGAAGAGAACAACTAAGAAGGAACTCCAACTTTCATGTATCAATTGCCCAAGGCTCTAGCTGATTCCTGAGGTAGGCAAATACAAGACAAACTACAGGTAACATAATTGTCTAAATAGAGATTAAATTTTAGTTGCTATGCACACCAGGAGAAACAAGAGTCTGGAATAAACTCGGTCAAATTAACTTTTGCTAAAATTACCAAAAACTAATAATAACCTTTACAAGAACATAGCAAAATTCAGAGATCTCTAAACTACTGTCTAAATTGTTAGCTGATAATGCGTATGAAATAACTCAGTTGCTGGAATTGGTAGAATGTGCTATAGATAGGAGCATATTCTCAGCTATCAAAATGTCGGCAACCACATTTGCCTCATGCCCTGTAACCCAGGGTCTTCCCATGAGCTATCCCACCCCTTTTCACTTTTTGAGACAGTGACTTGCTAAACTGCCCATGCTGTCTTCGACCTTGCATTCCTCTGGTCTCAGCATCCCCAGGAGCAAGGGTTATAGGTGTGGTCCACCACATCAGGCCAGGAGATCTTAAATACTACTGTAATTAATATATATTAAAATTTCTAAGAAACTCATAGCTATTTCTTCAGGATTAAAATAAACAAAAATAAACTTACCATACAGGTACGAGAATTTTCACCTATGAATGAATCTCTTAACACCTGAGTGAGTTTACTTGCTCGGAAAGGAGTATGAGGTTTATTTCTACCTAAGGCTCTGATGCACTCCTGAAAATTAGGAAAGCAAGTATCACAGATGAGGTTTTCCTATGAAGTGATCTAAGTAACGTATTTTAAAAATCTCTTATTACAACTTAACATTTAAGGGCTAACGAGCTCTGAAAATTCTACAAATGGTTTTATAGCATTGTAAAACTGTTCCCACTATAATGTTAATTTAAAAATAAACAAGAATAAAATATTAAAAAACACTTCTGGACTCTTATCACTAGTGTACAAAAGTGACAGGTAGCAGGAAAAATATAAAAATTAAAATATTACAGTGGCATTTCAAAATACAGAATGTTTTGTTGTAATCCTTTCAATTTCTGCTTTTCTACAAAACGAAAAAATCCTGGCTAAATGTTTTAAAAGCCATTCCACATTTTTTTCTGAGAAACTATATCTGAGCTCAAATATTCTGAGTTTTTTTTGCTTTCCCTAAGAAAATCTAACTAAGCCCTTTAGAATCTTCAGCTTTAGGTTTGGCCTGCCAACTCATATTCTTCATCGCATCTAAAAGGAATCAATAATGTGTGCCAGGAAAAATTCTAGGTACCACAGAGTCTGTTAACTTAAGAGAAAAAACAAGTCTGAAAACCTCTGTTAGGTAAAACAAGTACTATTATTTTGTAACTGAGTAAACAAAAAAAGTAAAAACATACGACTTTTCACAATTAGATAATTTTATTTACCTTGAGTGCTAAAAGGCTTTTATTAATTTCAGCACCTTCAAGCCTAGTTTGCCTGTCTGCACTGGAAGTATCAGCTCCTCGTTCATTTCCAGCCAAATCGATGAGAGAAAATTTACCATGTAGTTTTCCTTTGCGTCTAAGAATAATTTGAAACACTGCATGGCTCCGAGATGAATGTGCATTTGCGGATGTTTGACCGGATGTTCTATAATGTGATGAAGAATATCTTGGTATATAAAACTATATTTTTCATTAAAAACAGCAAAAAACCCATGTAGTCAATTTTCATAATTTAAATATGAAAAACACTCTGAGTTAACAGTTGAATATAACTAAATTCATACAATTTAGTCTGACATTATAATATATGAATATGTTAACAGTATCATAGATGTTACTTGTTGGGAGCCGCGGCCGAGCCCGGTCGCCTTACTTGGCGGACGTGAGACCTGTAGGAAAGAGCAAAGCCTGAGCTAGATTACCCCTCCCATCGAGTGTGCTAAGATGGCGCTTATCTCCTGCTTGGTAAACAACCCGCCCTGTAAGATCTCCTGCTTCCTGCTTGGTAAACAACCCGCCCTGTAAGATCTCCTGCTTCACAACCCGCCCTGTAAGATAGTCTGCCTAGCAACAACTGATGTTAGCCAATCAGTCCGCATCGCGCGCTTTGAACTGGTTGGCCACTGTAACCCTATAAAAGTGAGTGCCTCTCCCGCCAAGAGAAGAAGAAGAAGCAGAAGAAGCACAGAAGGAGCCGCGGAGAGCGGACCGGTAGAGGCTTCGGGACAGACTGTAGGGAGAAGCACGCAAGGAGCCGCGGAGAGCGGACCGGTAGAGGCTTCGGGACAGACTGTAGGGAGAAGCACGCAAGGAGCCGCGGGGAGCGGACCAACAGAGGCTTCGGCCGGGAGGATTCCCGGGGCAGGCTGTACGGAGAAGGAAAATAAAAGAAAAGGTTGTCCACTGCCAGACTTTGTTGTGTGTCCTTCCTGCCGGCCGGGAGTGACACCGACAGTTACTCAAATTTCTGCATGAGTTTTTATAACAGTGATTTTTACTTTCGAGGTGTAGCGGAGAACATCTTTACCTTGTTTAATGCCATATCCACAGTATCTGAGTTTCTCTTTACCTGCAGCTGTTGCCTATGTCAATGAGCTTCAGTACATCTTCAACACATTTGACCTCCCGTTCCTGTAATCCAACCACTTGAACTTGTTGTTTTCCATCTTCTAGAACTCTTAATTTTGTTTTCCTATTTAGCAAGTCAAACACCTATGAAAAATCATATTCAAACAGAAAATGAGCTGTTTTAAAAAAAGAAGAATTAGTTTATCAAAATGAATCTGGAAGTTATTTCAGAGATGAAAATAATTATTAGAACAATAATGTTTAACACTAAGAGCTTTAAGTGACATTCACATAAATTCTAAGTTGCAGTCCAAATACATATAGTTTATAATGGTAAAGCTGTAAAAGAGCAAACATATTCAAATATCACTGAGTTGTACATTTAAAAATGGTTTATATGTATTTTATAATGATTAAAAAACAAAAGTGAAGTTTCCACATACCTTTCCACTATAAATTTCAAAAAAGGTTGCATACACTTGCAGTTCTAACTTTTTATAGTTTGGCTTCTTTAACATTAAAAAGACATCTCGAGCTGTCAAGAATTTCACACACAAAAAACTGTTAAGATGCAAAAAATATATACTTTACATGCTATTTAATCTTCCTATTTCTAGAGTGTTAATCTTTACCTATGATATCAATAAAAATGAAAATTAAAGTGAATATTAATATGACAAAAATAGCTACAAAAGGAGTTAGTCTCTTTCATGCTTCATAAAAGAATGTTAATACTTATCCTTATACATAATTTAAAATTACAGATGACTAGATAAGGTTATTCTCTTAGCCACACAGAATCTTTTTGTAATTCACCTATTCAACAATTTGCATTAATTTCAAACAATGTACCAAATTACAATGACATAATAAAATAAGATTTTTATTATCTGAAAGCTTAATCTTACAGTTCTTTTCAAGAATCTGATAACTTACAATTGATATCTACTTAACAGCATTACAATTACTGGGTAATGTTTTAAAGTTTTATTCCAAAGTCATCTGGGTAATACTCAAGAATAATACAAATTATCTGCAAAAAAGTTGCTCACCTGCTAATGCATAAATTCCCTTAGAACAATCTTGGTTCTTTCCTGAAAAGTCGCCACCCATAGTCTACATTTTGAAGAGAAAATAAGAATTAAATAATTTAGGAATAAAAACTTAGGTATTAGAATTAAGCTATGAATAAATAAAACTGGGACATGATACCACATAAATTACTTACATGAGTTTTTCCACTTCCAGTCTGCCCATAGGCAAAGCATGTAGCCATTCCCCTTTCAAATATAGTTTCCACAAGTGGCCTTGCAGTAAACCTAAAAAATTAAAATGCATGAGTCAGAGTGTGTTGCAAATATGTAAGTTAAATAACAAAAGTAACATTTTAAAATAAACTAGATGGCAACATTTTAAATAAATACTTCAAATTTTTAAAATAAACACATCTTAGAACTGCTTGAAGTTATTTAAGAAATAATTCCATAATAAAGAATGCCACAATAATACACATGTAATACAAATAAGTATTATCTAAAATTGCAAAATAATCAAAGAATAACTTCAACACAGAAGACATAATAGGGAAAAACAGAAAAAACATTTATTTTTCATTTTGCTGCAAAAACATCTTTAAACTTTCTAAATATGTACAAAAACCAGAATTACCTTTAATGTGAATAACTTATACTCTACAAAAATATAAATTAAACCTATAAGACACTGAGTTTTGAGTTGATAGCCTTGATTCAGGTAAAGAACAATAAATTTATGGCCGGGATTATTTTTCAAGCATATTGATAAAATTTATTGCTAGAGTTAAAAGGCGATGAAACAAAAAGTACATTAGAAAACAAATCCACCAGTGAAATACTTTATATAGCTGCTAAAAAAATTGTAAGTCAAAATTCAAGAAGGCACAGAGCAGTAAGAGGAAAGTTATGGTCATAAAGAACTAGAGTCTGTAAAATACCCTCCCTCCAAGTATAACTCCTTAATCCATAAAAGTAAAGTGAATAGGATATGGGTTAGTACTGGTAAATTCAGGAAGCAAAAATACAGTATGAAACAGGATTTACTAAATCTATCATATACAAAGAAATATACTTTTATAATGAGTACTCGAAAACCATTATAAAAGTCAAACATAACTATATTTTGAGATGGGTAAAAAAAGTGAGGTAGAGGAGACAATTTTGATACAAAAAGCTAAATAATATACAATCTATGGTTTTAATTCCCTCTAAATATATTTCTTACAATATTTAACATTCGCATGTTCTTCAATTTTGTCTTTTTTCTTTACAACTGAACTCCTGGTTTATTGGCCTAGGATCAATTAAGTTGGCCTTAACCATATTTCATTTATAGTACCTTCAATTCTCAGGATTCCTATTAGCTCTGATTTCTTTCTAGATATTTTTGTAAAATAAAAGGGCAATAAAAACCATCATTAAAAAATGCTTCTACAGTTGATGTTATAACTATTAGAAATTAATGTTTACAAGCTGATGTATGAAAATCTGAATGACAATGTATAATACATTTAAGAACTGTTTTTAACTTGAATATATAAAGAAACGAATCTCATGTTAAAATTATCAGCCAAGCTCAGAGATGATAAAAACTACAAATAAATCCAAGTAGATCTACAGAACTTTTTTACTTTAAGTGGTAGTATATGTTAAATAAAGACAAATTAATGACTGATGTATAAAAATAGGTATTTTAAAACTTTTATTACTGTAGATATTAATTACAAATTAGAAGTTTTTATACTGTACTGATTTCTACTGGCAATGTTAATATTTTCCAGAAACTTCTTAATCATATGAATGTGAACCCGTGTTAGGAATATAGCAACTTAACCATTAGCAATGAAAATTACGATCTTGGGAAGCATTAAAGAGAACAAGTGTTAATACTCCTTATGGAGTTTACTACATTTATTTTAAATGCAGAATGAAAAGGCAGATAATACCTCTGGAGAGCTATGCCAAGAACAATGCAAGATTGAGGGTAGTGATAGACACATGGAATAAGGACAAAATTCTGACTTAAACCTAATTCACCTACCTGTAAACCATTTCATTAGGAGCTGAGTCATCAAAGGCATAATCAAAACGAAATGTTTGGTTTTCTAGGTACCTTGTTAAATCTACTTTCTGTTTGGGTTCATGTACCATCACAACATCTTTACTAGGGATTGTGATCACATCAAGATCTTTCATTTGAGTTTCTGGAAAAACAAATGAAAATCAATGCCCAGTAATTTTCTTATCATTTGAACTAATGTACAAAAGTTATTATAAGTAGTAATAATTTAGACAGAAGTGCTAAAAATTATAAATAGTGTAATACTCCATAAATACGCCATTCAATAACACTAATTCAACAAGGTAAAAGAATCAAGATTTTTGTGAAGCAAGAATAAGGAATGGCAATGCTCTACAGAGCCTAACAAACCAACAGGTCTAGCATAGAAATCTGTGTAACAGTTAAAATAAAATGAAAGGAAATGATTTGCATTTAACTTTTCTAAGTCAATTTAATTTGTTATACTATCAAAATATATTACAAATAAGAAAATCAACTCTTTATTGAGCTCATTAAGTATCATACCTTTTTTATTGAGTGGTCGTTTTCTTACACAAACACATATCCTATGTTCATCAATCTAGGAATAAAAAATATTTTATTTTAGTGATTATTAGTAGAATATGAAACAGTGGAAAATAAATCATATCATATTTGCTCCAAGGGCTTTAGAAATTTAAACACAGCATTAATATGATATATAAGCTTAAAAAACAAATTATACAAACAAATCAGACACAACTATTTCAAAATTTAAATGTAATGGAAACTGCTTATTTTGTTTTTGGTAAACCACTACACCTCAAGAAATAATTTTGTACAGAGTAATATTGTTCCTAGAATTAATTTACATTAAGAAGATAGCTTATCCAAGATGTATTTCATACAACAAAAATAATAACTTCTATTCTACCAAGTGGCATATTTTCAGCTTTGCTACTGAGAAACTTGTCAAAGATTGCTTAGGTAAAAATAGAAGATTCTCAGATTATTGAGTAAAATATTTAAATAATTTTAAAAATATGGTATCTTATACATAAGCATTCTTATTAAACATTTTCAATATATGCCTTCTTTAAATAATAACTAAAGAAATGAAAGCTCTTTCAGAAAAAGTTTGCCAATTTGCTTGTCCTAAACATGAGCTAAAATACAAAAAGTAAAACATAGGAAGGCATAGAAAGATCTAAAATACAGGACACGAGTGTTTGAAGAACAATTGTATTTAATTCTCACAATACATCTGCCTAATACAAATGTATTTTATGTAACTAAAATATTCTGTATATACTAGGTCAAACATTCTTTTCCGTAAGTACCACTATTCATAAAATTATCTGTGCAACAAATTCTCATTCTTCAATGAGAACTTAGTAGGGAATTGAAAAACAAGTAAGACTATAGAATATTATTTTTAGTTTTGGATTTCTGGTCCATTGCAGCCTCAACCATCAGCTATTGTTAAAAATCAGAATACCATTAATTTAAAAATAACAAATTAGTAACAAATTGGAATGGCGGTGGGATCTACAGTCTATGCCAAACAGCAAGAAATTTGGAACTGAGATCAGAAAACTGATCGTCAGAAAGTAAACTCTGTTTTCTCATGTCATTCTGCCTTTCCAAATATGGAAAAGATTTCTTTGAAAAGGGTTCTGTCTGAGGATAGTAGCATTTCTAACACTTAAAATTATGAGAGGTGAGTATAAAGTAGATGATTTCTTGGTTTTCTTCTTAAAATATGGATGATGAGCCTTCATAAAGAAAAGAAAAACCATAGAACTAAATGTAATATAAATTTAGTGAGTATCAACATATTTTTATTTACAGTATAAAGAGTGCTAGACAGTAATTTACAAACAAAGAATCGTACAGGATCTGCTGTTGTTAATGGTCTATAATCCAAACTTCCTCTGAAGTCTCTGATCATACACATAATTTCGTAATTTGGATTCGTAGCATCAACATCCTGTTAGAAAACAGAGAGAATTCATCATTTATTATAATAATGTTGTATTTCTTGCATTTTGTGTTATTTATGACTTGAAACTTATAATTGACATAGTTTCACTTGTCACCACCAAACTCTAACTTGAACTAAAAATGTGGTAATAGTTGAGAGTTCAAATTTAGTATGTTCAGAATCACTTTCACATTAAAAATATATCTGTCAGTCTGTATACTGTTAACTCCAAAGATTACCCATTAGAATCATCCTTTCCTTTTAAAAAAATCATGTAGTTACACATATACTTTAGTTATTCAAGAAAATGAAACTTTAAAACTTTTTTGTTTTTTGGGGGGGAGCGGTCAATGTTTTTTGAGATAAGAATCTAAGATAAGAATCTTGCTATGTAGCTCAGGCTGGCCTTGAACTCATGCCAATTTTCTTGCCTCAGCTTTCTGAGTGCTGCAATTACAGGTTTATACTACCATGAACAGCTTAAAATTTCCATTTTTTATTAGTGCATGTTTGAAGTGCATAATAATTACATTCCTCATGGAGAATTAGTACATGAACCTAACACATCCTATTTTTTAAAATTTCCTTTCATTCCTCTGCCTTACCCCTTCCTTCATCTTCTACTTCTTTTCTCTTTTACAAAAGTTCTATCGCCCTATTTACTATTACCTATCTTTTATTTTGCTCTTTATTTATATTTTAGGTTTTTAATACAAGAGAAACCATGAGATTTTTAAGCTAGTACATCTGATTTATTTCACTAAACATTACAGTGTCAAAGTAGAAAATATAGTTTAAAAGAAAAATAGCACTTATCTAAAACACTGGCAGTAAAATCTAGAAAAGTTGAAATGCTAGAAAAATTCATTCTATATTCAAATATTTCATTTAATTGCTTTATCTAAATGTTTTAGCAAAACAGAAGATTGATTTATTTCTTGATTTATGTATTATTGTTGATGCTATAAATTAAGAAAAAAAAGGTATCTCCCCAAATGCATGGTAAAACAGCCTTAAAATGACAGAATACAGAACTTAAATGAATCAAAAAACAAGATAATTCCAATTAAGTCAACAGAGGTACAGAATGTGAAGAATTAAGACATCAAACATACGGTGAAGTACCCTTGGGAAACACCAGGTGGCACTATGCTAAATATCAGGAAGTTCATGCTTTGTGTATTATTTATTACAAAACTCAATTAGTTATTCTCAAGTAACTTTCAGATATAAGTTGATTTGTTCAAGTAGAATATTCTGTTGGCCCGCAATTCTACATAGCATCATGTGAACTATTGGTTTAATATGATTAGTGGCATATGAATAGAAAATAACTAGATGTTTTATTATGGAAATACATTGAGTTATTGAAATAGAGTTCATGTGAAGACCTGTAAAGGGATGAGCTTTTCATTTTATTTGTTTTTTGAAACAGGGTCTTACTATGTAGTTCATGTTGGCCTCAATGTCAGAGTGACTGTCCTGCCTCAGTCTCCTGAGTACTGGGATTACAAATATGCCACCATGCCTGGTTTAAAAACCACCTTTTCGATGCAATTTTTCCATCTCTCTTAAAAAATTTTGCTACAAAGTAAGCAGAATGAGAGAGGCACAAGACACTCTCAACAGCTAGTGTAAACTGAAACACAAGAATTTTTCTCCTTAAAAAGAAAAAGGGGAAAAGACTGCATGTATGCAGGTATACATATATGTGTGTATGTATGTATATATATATATATATATATATATATACACAAGATTGATAACTATACTACTAATCACTGTAAGCTCATCAAATAGAATAGTTTGTTTTCATTATTTGATCATTTTTTGATGCCTAAATCTTATAATCTGAACAGCTACTTTTAAGATAACAATATGTAATTGTGTTTTCCTTTTTAGAATTCTGTACTGCTTTTATTTGTCTTATTTTTAAAAGAAAAAAAAAATTCCCTCCTTTCCTGATAGTTTGAACCCGACCATAAAGAAACAATTAACATACCCACTAAACCATGAAAGGTACATGCAATAAAAATCTCCTATGGCAATTTATTTTCACAAAAGTTTGCACTACCCCACAATATCAATTTCAAAAATTCTTTCAGTTCCTTAAATGGATGCCTCTACTATTTTTCACAAGTTGGTCACTCTCCCTGATATATTCTAATCACTTATTGGAAATGAATACATTACAAACCTGGGCTCTTTTTTCTCTAAGTTCTTGCTGTTGCAGTCTCCTTTTTTCTCGCTTTTCTTGTAATTTTTCCACTTCTTTCACACAATTAGATTTTCTACGTGCTGAGGAAAACAAACAAACAAACAAAAAGACAAGCTGTAAAAGTACAATTTTCTTTTTAGAGTACTAAAACAAAAATTTATGGATAACTGCACCACATACATGAAAAAAGTACACAGTGACCAAGCATGCCTAACACCTATATGAGTTTTTACTTATGAGCTGTTTTTCACAGAATGAGGAACAGGACAATATACAAATGAGAGTCAAGAAAAATGACTCCAACACATTGATACATGTCATCTCTTGGTTTTGAATCACAGATCTCTGTGAATTGAAAGGGTTGGAAAGGCTTTCTTTACAACATCTCACAAATTATCATCTGGACAAAAATTTTAAATTCAAAGTAAATGAAACACTGTCATAATCTCACATGCACATATATTTTTTCCTCCAAAATATGCATTAAGAGATGAAGGTAATACATTTCCCACAGTGGCAAAATGAAATCTGCAATCAAGTTTGTAATCAGACTGTTTACCATTTGGGGACTTAAAATGGTGACCAAGAGAGAATACATGTATGCCAAAAATGACTGAATCCTTGATACGTGTATTACATACAAGGGGGTCCAAATTCCTTTTTTGCAGCTTGAACTGGAGATATATCTGAAACACTACCATTCTGTTGTGCAGAGGAAGACTGTTCAGGAAGTTGACTAGGCCGTGCACGTGCAGAACCAACCACTGTAAGTGAAAAGATTTTTAAATTCAGAATATAAAATTACTAAACACCAACCTTGGTAAAAGGAAGAGACGGAAAACTGCCAGTTTTTTTTTTTATTATATGTGTATAAAATAAGACATAAAATAATAAATTCTGTTCAGTAAGCTGACATAGGTAAAAGAAGTTTTCAGACTTCACTTTCCACCAGTGTAATTTTAGCTACAAAACTCAAACTGAATAATTTACTTAAACAAAGCCAAATTATTTTAATAACCATTTTAATATAAATGTGAACCCTTCTATGCTTATGATTTCATATTACAAAGGTATTTCCCTAAAATATGTATGTATAAAATACAAATTTTAAGAGCACTCTCATTTTGAAAATTTCACACTATATATACACAAAGTAAAAACTTAAAAGTTCTTTCAATCCTCTGTATTTTGAATTCTATTCATTGCTCCTCAAATATACAAACTTTAGTGAAGATTTTTCTAATGTAGGTACTAATGGAGAAAGGGACAAAATTAAAAGTATATAGCAAAACTTTACAAAGAAATATAATTTTTCTTTGTTTTTGAGGCAAGGTTTCTCTATGTAGCTCAGACTGGCCTTGAACTTACTACGCAACCCAGGCTGGCCTCAGTCTACAATGATCCTCCCGCCTCAGCCTCCCCCAAAGCTGGGATTACAAGGTGCACCACCCACCTGGCCTGAAATATAATTTTCACAAGACTTAAAAGACAGTGGATTCAAACGGTAATGGACTTTCCCCTCTACCTCTACATCTGCTCTGTAATATCTGTGGTCCATCCTCTTCTACTATGCAGTACAAAGTGAAATGTACTATAAGAAATAGTAGTTCTTAACTACTGAACAGTACAAATAAAATTAATTACACTTTATATCCACTGGCTGGAAGCATAGGAAAAACTTGAAGCTAACAACTTATGCCTGTTCAACATTTTTTTGCTGACTACAAACCTAAACTTTACAATTTTTGGAAATTGTTTGGCATAAAATTATGGTAAATGTGATGATTAAATTTATCCTTGTGAAATCAAGCAGTTGACTCTTTCCTCAATCCATTTTTTAATAACACTTTCTTTAAATTTCCAAAAGTTGTCAAGAGAGATGAATATAAAAATTACATATTTCATGGCATTTATATCAATTACATATAATTAAAAATCATTTTACATATCACTACTATATTAGGAAATCAGTAAAATACCCATCTTAAAATAAGCTACATAAAGTTTAAACAAATAACATCAAGATGGCCTGAGGATATGGCTCAGGGGCAGAGTACTTGCCTAGCATGTTCAAGGCCCTGGGTTCAATTCCCAGGGCTGCAAAATAAAAAACAAACCCCAAATGACATCGAGTAATATTTACTTTTGATTTACTTAATCAAGGCTATATTAAATAGTCAACAGGCAAAATAATGAACTAAAAGTTTTAGTTTACCTCTATTATCTCTCGGAGGAGGGTCATTCTTAATAGATGCCACAGTCCGACGATTCTATAGAAGAAAAAATATTCAATGTATATTCTCCATTCCCTCCTCTCTCTCTTTCTCTCTCTCTATATATACATATATACAAAAATTTAGTTTCTTTTAACTAAATATTCAGAAATAAGTATGAACAAGGCTTAGTTCTAAGGACTTTGAATTCTCTTAATCTTTATCTAACCCACCTCCAAAATCATTATTATTGCTACTCATATTTCACAGATTAGCAAACTGAGGTAGAGAAGTTAAGTAAGTTTACTATGTTGCTATCCTGCCAAAACAATGTGCAGGCTTAGTATCCCTCAATCAAAATGCCAGAAACAATAAGTGTTTTGCATTACTTTAGATTTTGGAATATTTTGCATACAGTAATAAACTGAATTACTGAAAAACCATCAAATATCCATTGTTAATTACCTTAAAAGGTTTCACGAAGCCTTTCAAAAACTTGGATACTGTACCAATTAAGGCAGTAAATTTTTAATCCTATTATTTATTTACTAAGATTTAATTTAATTTACTTCAAAAAACAAATAATGCAGTTGCATCCAATCTGGGCTACACATTCAAATCAGACAGGTACTATTTAAAGGATAGCGATGCCACGACCTCCCAATAAAATGAAAGCATCTCTGGGAGTGGAGCCCATAATTAGTGCTTCAAAAAATTCTCCTTGTGACTATAATGCAAAGCAAAAGTTGTTAATTATGTATAAGGATAGAAAAACTATGTAGATCCTCTAAGGTTCTAAAGCTGAAAATTAAAAAGTGGGCCATTTACAACTGGAAACTAATGACCTCAATATGCTTCGGTTATGGGAACTGAAAAATCCAATGTTTATAAAGCAGAATTTTCTATTGATATTAAGTGTCTATTACCACACATTTGGATGTTTATATCCTCTCAGAAAAATAGCAGTTCCTACAGGCTGAAAGCATGCCCTAGTTATCTTTTTATTTTATCTTGCACAGTATCTGCATAACATAAAAAATTTTTTTTCAATAAATGCTATGAAATGCAGATTCAACAACTTTGACTACTTGGTATAAAAATATATTTTTATATAACCTTTTAATAAACAGTAAAGGATTTTCAGAGAATAGAAAAGGAACTATCTTTAAGAACAATAAAAATAATGTGCTTTTAATTTTACTTATTGAGCAGTACGGGGGAATGAACCTAGGGCCTTTGCACTGAACTATATCCCCCAGCCTTTTTATTTTCAAATGGGATTTTGTCAAATTGCCCAAGACTGAGCTTAAACTTGCAATTCTCTTGCCTGAGCCTCCTACAGTGCTGGGGGTAAAGGTGTGTGCCACTGTGCTTTTAATTTTTATTAAGACAAAACTGGTAGGGAGCAAACAGCATGGTTGATAAGTTTATCTTCATAGTATACAAGTCATTAAACTACACTCAATTTCTCATTTTTCTTTAGTAAACACAAATAACAAAATTATAATTACAAAAAATTATTAGAATAGGCAAATATTCAAAACAAACTGCTATTCTGTCAAACTCAGATATATTCATTCAACAAATACTGACAAATGGTTTTGAATATTATCTCCTAAGAAATATTTAGCTTCAGGAAAAATCCTAAGAAAACAAAAAACTTCTATGATCTAATGATTGTGGTAACTGTATATTAGACAAAAGTACACAGATATTTACATAGATGTGGATGGTGGAAAAAACTACTCAGTACTTACAAACATACTCTTCAATTTAAAAGCAGAACATACAAACAACCCAAACATACAAACCCATACTTCGCTTTAAATTACCATCACTAACCTTTACAATTTTGTTTACTTTGGCTGAGGATGTTTGAGGTGGAGGTATTTCTGGACTGGGTTCAATTTCTTCATCAGGTACAAGGTCGGGGTTAAGTGAAAAAATGCTCTCCAGGTCGATCTGTTTAACACACACACATATTTTGGAAGGGTATTCTGGCATTTAATTTTCCTTTTTCAAATGAATTTACAGAGTAAATAACTTACAATTACAACCTAGTAAATCGCATTGCAGTGCAAACTAGATTGTCTGAAATAATAATCCACATATATTTGAAGAATATTTCTTCCTGACAGTCACATTTTATATTCTCTATAAGTTATCAGTAACAGAATCCATATATATCTAAAGAATCTCTTTTAAAAAGAATGTTTTGGGCTGGGGATTTAGCTCAGCGGCATAAGCACTTGCCTTGCAAGCAGGCAGTCGTGAGTTCGATCCCCGGTACCGGTAAAAACGAAAAAGACCAAAAAAATAAAAATAAAAAAAAAAAATAAAAAGAATGTTTTTTACTTTTGATTATATAAATTGCTAGTAACACAATGACCAACAAAATTATTCATTACTATGGTAATGTTCACATTTTGTGGGCTGAGTTAAAAAAATACATTTTTATCTAGTAGTGAAGAGGACTAATGTATAATCACATAAATATGTGTAAAGAACTATTTTTACCTGACATTTTTTCAAGAAATGATAAAAGAATATATGCAGCATATAAGAATTACATATTTTTGTTTTGTTCAGAATCGTGATTGCAGGACTAGACAAAAATTAACATTGTGATTATACCTCTTTGCCTTTTGTATCTCCATTTTCTATCCACTCAACAGTTACACTTTCATTATCTTCATTTAAAGATGTTACCATTGCTTGATGTATTCGACCTGAGTGAGAATAAAACACACATCTTTTTTTCTGGATTTTTTAAAGAGTCTCCCTATGTAGTTCAAGTTGTCTTTGAACTTGTTGTATGTTTATGATGCTACCTTTGTTTCTTAAAAGGAATTTCCATAGATTAGGAAATGAATTACCCATGGGCATATAAAGTTAATTTTTTATTAATCAAATTCAGGAACTCAAGATATTAGATGAGAACAAAAATCTGTTTTCAGTATATATGAAAAATGTCACATAGTGACACAGGATACAACTATTACTAGAGGTGTGTCCTATCTGTGACCTATGGACATCTTGCTTTCTTTTTTAAATGTTAAATAAAACGTTTAAAAATAAAAGGTTTATTGCTTACATATATTTTGTATGCTGCCCAAACAATTCCCTTTTTCTGAATGTGACCCAAGCAAGCCAAATTGGCTACTCATCTGTTAACAGTCGTAATCACTAGAAGATTCCTTAAAGTGGGTCAAAAATGACTCTACAGTACCACAACAAAACTCCATAAGGCAATTTTTAACACTATACTAATACAAAACATTTTATGTAATATACTTTTAATCATATACTGTGCAAATTGATGAAATTACTTGTAAATTGAGAAATATCCCAAGAAAGAAGGCCGTGAAATGCAAATCTAAAACATCTATATGTTACCTACCCAAATCTGTTTTCCCTGATCCAAATACATTATGCATTTACTGTTTTTCCCTTCTTGACAGACTGTGGATCTTATTTATTAGCAACCATAAAGCTAAATAATTATTTTAAATTATAGTCATATGATGTATTTAATACATATTCACAGTCAGATTATGCACAATTTTCTACTATTATAAACATTTTCATGAATATTGGTACATGTGTATCATGTACTTTTCATGTCCTTAAAACAAATTTCTAAAATCAGGATTTCTCATGTACATATATGTAAACACACACAGTTACTACTTCATCTTACTCATGTATTTGATTACTCAACGATAGAAACTATTTGTTATTTACCTTTATCATCAATATTACCTAATAAAAGGCTGACAATATGAAATTTTGTACTTATTTCCTAAGTGAAACCCTTTAGGGCATTTATAATTTACCTTAGGATAACAGTTTAAAAAACATATGTGTATGACAAATAATGTTACTATACTATGGAATACAGTACTTTTAAAGAAAACGTGAGCATTATAAAACTCAGATATTTTTAAGCATGAAATTACTGTCAATCATTCTATCTTCTATAGTGGCTCATACAAAAATTTGCAGACTAAATTAATTTTGAAAAAATGTAAATACTGAGGATGAAAGTGCTCACAACTGGTACAATGCTACTACTTTTAAATTTTTTTATTTTAAAGAGAACAAAACAAAAGGAAAAAACAGAACAAAGCAAATCAGAACAGAACAATGCAAGCAACACAGAGATTTCACAACAAGACAATAGAACATCAACAGTGGCTACCATAATGTTTTTTGTTTTCTTCGAAACAGTTGACCATACCTTCACATACAATAATATCAAACAAAACAAAATAGTATAAAACCAATCAAAAGAATAAAAGCATTACAAGACTTCAAAACCAGATAACAGGAAATGAACAATGGCTACTATAATATCTCATTTTCCTTGAAAAAGCTGTCCATACCATCACACATAATAAAATCAAATAAAACACAACAGAACCAATCAAAATAGAATAAAAGCATAATATTCTTCAAAACAAGATAGGAAATCAGCAATGACTACCATAATGTCTCATTTTCTTCAGAGTAGCTGTTTATACCATCACACATAATAAAATCAAACAAAACAGAAGAAAACCAATTAGACCAATGAAAACATTATAAGACCTCAAAACAATATAACAGGAAACCAACCACGAGTACCATAATATATCCCATTATGGTCAAAGTAGCTGCCCATAACATCAGACAGAGTAAAATCTAACAGAACAAAGCAAAAGCTAACAAAACTGTGAAAATAATAAAAAAGTTCAAGACAAGACAATAAGAAATTAACAGTAGTTACCACCTTTCCCTCTCAGGTGTTTCCTCCCCTATCGCTCTTACAATTGCTATTTTATTTTTGGATCCCATTAACTCCTGTTTCTTATGCTAGAGTTCACCCATATGAGTTCAAACTATTTCACCCATGAACATGATCTCCAGTTGCATCCATTTACCTATAAGAGTTTTGAGATTATTCTACTTTATAGCTGGGTAGTTTCCCTCTGCATATAAATACCATATTTTTCTTATACATTCTGCAATTGATGGGCAAGTTATTCTTGCTTTTTTTCTGGTCTTCTGTCACACAGAACAATTGTTTTCCCTCCTTTGATCTTTAGTCTATGAGTTTCTTTTTGAGTTAGATGTGTTTCTTGTATATAGTATATAGATGGATCTTGTTTCTTGATTCACTCGCTTGTCTCTTTTTATTGCTGACCTGAGGCCATCTACATTAATCATACATACCTAGCATACATTGGTTTGTCTCTGCCACATTATCCTCTTTCCTATTGTTGGCCCTCCACTTTTCCCCTTCATTCAATTGCCTATCTTGTTTGGCGATCCTCCTCTGCTCCTGTTCCTGGAACCATGCTCATCTTTGTCTCTCTCTAGCATATCCTTTAGCACTTTCTATAGGGTTGTTTGGTAGTCATGAATTCTTTCAGTTGTTCTTTATCCTGGAAGTATCTTATTTTTCATTCAATTTTGAAAGACAGTTTTGCGGGGTATATCAATCTGGGTAGGAAGTTGTTTCTTGTCAGGATTTGAAACACTTCAAATTCTTCTTGACTTGATGTTTTGTGTTGATAAGTTTGCCATAATTCTGATTTGTTTTCTTTTATAGGTGATGTTTCTTATCTCAAACAGTTTTTAATATTCTGTTCTTGTGTTGAATTTCTGGGGTGTTGATTATTTTATGTCCGGGTATAGACTTACTTTGTTTACGACTACTTGGGAGTTCTATATGCCTCACTTATCTGCGTGCCAGATGCATTTCCCATGTTTTGGAAATTTTCTGATATTACTTCTGGAAATAGCCTTTAAATTTCATTTGTGTTGACCCTTGCTTCTTCACTGACACCTATCATTCTTAAATTATGCTTTTTTGCGTTATCTTGCAGCCATAGAATTGTCATTTCCTGATTCCTTTAAAATCAAACATATTCATTTAATTGGTTTTACGGTTTTATTTTTTCTTTCACAATCACTAGCTCCAATCCTATCTTCAAGGTTTGAAAGTCTACCTTCAGTCTCTTTCAAGCAGTTCTGCCAGCTTTCGATTAATTTTCTGGATCTCTCTTTGAATCTGTTTCATGCATTTGATTCCTTTAAACAATTCAGTATGTTTATGATTTCTTCTTTTACCTGAGACATTATTTCTGATTTGCTTTTATAATCTCATGAAGTTGTTTCTTCAGGTGCTATATTCTCAGAGATTTCAGGTGTGTGAATTCCATTTTCTTCCATCACTGTATCTCCCAGACTTGTTCTGTGTGGACTGGAGGTCTGAGATTGCCTTTTGCTCCTCTGTCTTGATATTTTCCTGAGTTCCTCCCAACAATCCGGTTGTGGGGCCCTAGGTACTTCCCACATTGGCTGCTCCTCCACAGCGTAAGGGAATGGAACAGGCATCCGGATTCCTCTGACCCCAGATTTACAGGGAGGTAGCAGGGTGTGGGGTGGCTTCTCCAGATCTTTGCAGCTACACTGGGGCTTCCCCGATGACCAGAGGTATGTGGAGGTCAGGCTGCTTCTCTCAGCCTGTGTCTCTTACACTGGGACTCCCATGATGGTGGCTGCCCAAAGGAAGCCAGGACCTCCAACGGTGGCCAACAGGTACACAGGGCTTACCTGGCTACGTGTCCCTGCTCCTGCTGGGACGCTGCACGCAGGAAGGAGCCTTCCGGTGGCAGTGCCCAGCAGGCGGAGGTAGATCCATCTGGCTCTCTCTGACCGTGCTGGCTGCCTACAGAAAGGAGCCTTCTGGTGACAGCATTCTGGCAGGGGGATGGTACTCTCTGGTGGCAGCATCTGGCAGATCTGCTGGTACTCTCTGCCCGCAGGAAAGGGTCTTCTGGTGGCGATGCCTGGCAGGTGGAGGTGGATCTGTCTCACTACTACTTTTTTAAGTCTTCCCATGACATTATATATAGACTTACCTACTTAAGTTTAATAACTATCCAACATTCCATGAAAGGAACGTATCACAATTTGACTACTATTTACTAGGAGTAAATTTCTAAATTGCTCTGCATTTTTTTTTTTTAACATTCCCAACAGCGAGACCTATTTCTCCATATTCTCAACACTATCATTACTTTTAAAATTTAACCAACTGATATGCCAGATCTTTCCTTAAGCTAACAATTCCACTGCCTGGTGCATGATACACAGTGTCTTGTTCTTGTACTACGGAGATACTCTACCAAATAAGTCTCCCTGTCTCCAACTATTCTGTCCTTCACACATAAACCAAAATATTCTTGGTTAAAAACTAAATGAGATTAAATTACAGCTTTGCTTAAAAGCTGTAATTTACAATAGCTCTCCATCTAGCAAAATAAAAGTTAAATTCTGTTGAATGGTGTTGGGGGGGGGGGCTTCACATTGAGCTACCACCCTAGTCCAAACTTTTTAAATTTTGAGACAGCCTCAGTAAGTCACCTACTTACTCAGGCTGGGTTCAAACTTCGAATATTTTTCCTCAATCTTTCAGTGCTGGGATTACAGGTGTGCACCACAATACCCCATTCCCAGCAGCATTCTAATGACCTACTATAGAGTTCTCTATGATTCAACCTCTTGTACCTGTGAGCTCATTCATCCCTTACTACAGTCACACAATACTGTGACTTCCACTCCCACACACAAAAAAGATAGGTGAAATGAAATGTAAAAGCAACTTAAGAAATGCTGTCATTTACTGAGATAAGTTGACACTGAAAGAAAAACAAGTATTGGGGATGCAATGAAATGAGAA